TGTGCGGCGTGCCGTGGCTTCGTTTATAGGAGGTACTGGTCCAGACCGGACACACTGTTCCTCAAAGGGTTAACGCAGCATCGCTGCTGAGCTGGCCACCTTTAAATTAAATGCGTCCTTATCATCGCTTATAACAATTGTTTTTTAAAATAAATGTTATCAAGAGGAAGTTTTTAAAGTGTTTCATTGTATTAGAATTTTCTATTGATTGAAATAAATAACCTAAGAGACATACATTGCCATTATGTTTGCCAACAGCTGGAAAGATCAGAGTTTTGTTTAATGCGGTAACAACGAACAGATACATTTTTGTGAAATATACCATATAAATAGAGATGGAGTGCATTCTAATTTTAAAAATGAATTCGATCGTTTTCAGAAGGTCAAACTAACATTTGCAGAAAAAGAACGCAAATTCAGCTATAACACATTATTTGAGACGGTAGCCTAAACACGATGCGCTTCTTTGATAAAAATGGCGCCATTTTTATATCGGTCTCCAGCATTGAATCAGCAATAATTTTTGTAAGCGCAGCATGCGAGATTGAATTTCTCGATATAAGTAATTTTAAAAAATCTTATTCGAGCAGTAATCCAGAATGGTAAAGCTTCTGCGTTTGGTAATCGCTTCAGCGTTTGTTTGGTGTTCTCATGGATTACGATTGGATTTCCCTCAAAATTTGTTTGCCAATTGGTTTCAAAGTAAGCGTACTAAATTTTAATTCAATTAAAGCTTTAAAAATAGTTATAAGTTAAATAATTAAGTTAATAGTTAAATTAAATAATATGCTGTATTATTTAACTAAATAATAAGCATATTATTATAATAGTACTGTATTATTTCGTTAAAAATAATCATATTATTTAATTAAATATACATCCCCCCCAGCTATAATTATGCCATAAAGTATTTAATGTGCATATTTGAATTTTTCCCCATAATTCTGAAAGGTAATAAATTTTTTGGACGTGTTTTTCTAACATTTGTTACAGTAATACCACTAATGATATTTAACTCCCCCAAAAAAGAAACCAGTTTTCAACAAAAATGTAATGAAATATATTTTTCAAACGTAATTTAGCAATAAAACACAAGTCTATCGACAGTTATGCATAATATTGAAGAGCAAAGCTTTCAAGGATATACATTTGCTTTAATTTATTATAAAATTTATAAGCAAAAAAATAATAATAAATAAACAAACAAATTAATTAAAAATCTTAAAATCTTCAGATTTTATTTTTAACGTTTTCTGTGTAACCTTTATTTATTAAATATAATGTTTTTCTCCCTTAAACCATAATATTCAATTCAACAGCAGTATCACAAATTAATTTAGAAACAGCATATCTTTAAAGTTTTCGATACACAGTTTGGAAATATTTTTTTTTTTTCCGCGCAGTGTTGCGCAGTGAAACGGACATTATAGTGATTCAATGCAAAATCGCAAAACGAAACCAATAGTGCTTCAGAGACAAAGCCCCTTTGAACTAATAACATTTAATAGTACTGCATTTAACATTAGATACCCTTGAAGTATCGATTAAATGGACTTTTTTTCTTTTAAGAACCTTCAAGCGATCTTAGCTACTGCAATTTAAAACCGCGGGAAGATGCATTTTCAAGCTTGAACACTATCACTACGATAAAGATTCACACGAACGCAAGCAGTTTGTTTACAGTGGTTGGCAAGGGAACGATAACAGTTTCGAAACGAAAAAGGAATGTGAAAGAAGTATTCTAGTTCAGAAAGTACGTCATTTGATAGCATAGTAATCGTAGAAGGGTAACCTGTCGATAGTTTGATGCATTTTGGTTTTTAAACTAGAAATAAGCATTTTAGTTTTGATTTATCGTTTGCATTAGTTGCACCGTTTTCTTTAAGATGAAGTGTTAAGCCGATTTCAAATCAAATGATATTCTTTTTAATAAGGCTATTTAGAATTGCATCAGATGATGGCATTTGATTTGATTAAATTAGACAAAACTCTTATTCCTTTATTCTTTTATTCCTTAATTACCTACCTTATTATTTCCTAATTGCATCTTTATTCCTTCTTATTATTTTCATCTTTAGTCCAAAAGGTCTTTGTCTCTGAGGGACTATTGTTTTCGTTTTGCAATTTTGCGTCGATTCACTCTGAATGTCCGTTTTACTTTTCAGACTGTTGCCACCCAATATTATCGCCATGTACTATATTTAAAGAAATTAAATAATGAAGAACCTGCATAAATGTATGCATATTTCTCGCATTGTGATAAGACAATGGTACCTAGAGCCATCCAATTTTAAAGATGTAATCCCTCTGCGAATATGAAAGCCCAAATTTGAAATTTGGAATTTGTTTTATTATCGATTTCATATTTTGTAAAACTTTAACGAATTTTTGATTAATAAACTCCAGGATTTAAAAGCGAGCAACGACAACGTCGTACAGAAAAAACATATTTATTTCAAGCCCGCGAGACTGTGTATCGGTTATTCTAAAGATATGCTCTTTTTAAAAATTATTTTGTGATATTGCTGTTGAATTCAATTTTATGGTTTAAGGGCGAAAAGTATGATATTTAATTAATATTAAAATATCCTTTTGTATAATAATTAAGTTAAAAACATTAAAGAAATTAAAAATAGAATGAATTTTATTTAGCTAAGAATGGACCAAAATAACAGGAGTATGAAGAGTTTTAATTCACTAGAACAGAGCAGGTTGCGTGAAAAATCACCATGGGAGTTAGAAAAATGGTGTTTGTTTTTCTTTCGTTTTATATGATACAGCAGAACTTCAATCATTAGAATCAATTGCGACTGGACTCCATTCAGATAATAAAAAATTCGGATAAATGGATTTTTTCGGAAGAAAAGGTCTACGTACATTTTAATTAATTACTGTATGTACTGTAAGTTGAAAATGGGAGAAAAACTATTTTTAAAGAAAAAGAGGTTTTAATTAATTAAAATGAAAAAGCAATACTTTTACGTACACACATATAGCGTACTGTACAGTACTTACAAGTGCTGAAAGTCATTGCTTGCTGAACAACTCGGTCAAAGTAGGCTGTTTGACTGTCTTCATTCGTTTTCGGGCAGCCAAGTCCGCTCGACAATGAGAAGTTGCATGTGGTCACACTCGAGCTGACGCTCCATCCACTACAACGCAGTTTCGAGGCCGGCAAACGCTTCACCAGCTGATGGTCCCGTGTCTGCGCCTGCTTCATCTTCGACATTAAGGTCATTTTCTTCCTCGACACTTTCTTTTCTCACACTTTCAATAAATTCCTCATCATTTAGAATTTGAAACCCAGAGTCTGACGGGTCACGCACCCTCCATTCTGCTGTATCGTCAACACTAGCTTTTGAAAATCCAGGAATTTTCAAAAGAATGTTTCTTAACTCCTCAAGTGATGAGTCATCCTCATCTTTTCCTGTCTCTTCTCTCTCTTTTTTTCTTAAATTCTGAAAGCGATTCGGATACTCGGACATCAGATAATTGGAGTTATACTGTACATTAAAATTTAATATACGAATATTAATGATATATTTGTAAATATATGTTCAACTAAGACACAGTTAACAGCAACAAGAACAAAATATAAACAGACAAAAACATAGTTCACGGCAACAAGAACAAAAAACAGATAAAAAAGTAATAAAATAATAAAAGTAGGAAATAATGCAAGCATGTAAATAAACAATCTGTAAACCATGACAGATTAAAAAAAAACTAAATTCACAGAAAACTGAAAGAGTTATGAAACCAAATAAATGATAAAAACTTTAAGACAACAAGTGGAAGAATTTCTAGGTCTCTTGTCTAACATCCTGTTAATATTTCCATTTTACATTCCTGTACTTCACATGGGAAAATATACCGCAAAAGATAATTTTTTAGAGTTCGAAAAAGATAAATATTCCTAGCAATGCATTAAGGACTTTGTAGTTTATTCTACAGAGGAAATATACAGTACAACTTTTTAAACTTCGTGTCAATGCTTGAAAACGAAGATGGAAGTTCTTTAAGAAAATCAATGAATGCAGCAACAAACAAAAATTTATTTTTCATGAGGTTTTCATGAGGTTTCATGAGGTCGTTTTCATAAGGTTTTTACAGCAGCGTTCTACGGGAAACCTAATTTCGGCTCCGAGTCTGTGAAAAAGCTAAGATCTTAGCTCAGACGCTTGGTTGTTCATACTTTAAAGCACGTAACGGCTGGCTAAGAAATTTAATTGCAGGCATTGTGTCCGTCAAACAGCTTAACTTTGACCGAGATGTTCAGCAAGCAATGACTTTCAGCATTTGTAAGTATTACGTACGTGTTGTACGCTATAAAACATGTACGTAAAAGTGCTGTCTTTTCATTTTAATTAATTAAAAATTTCTTTTTCTTTGAAAATAGTTTTCTCCCATTTTGAACATACAGTAATTAACTAAAGTGCATGTAGACCCTTTCCTTGGAAAAAAAATCAAATTATCCGAATTTTTTATTATCCGAATGGGGTATGATGCCAGTTGATTCGGATAATTGGAATTCTACTGTATTTGGATAGCGTAATTTAAATAGATAAATACTCTTAAAAATTTGTATTAGATATTAGGTACCATAAATAGTTCTGATAATCTGACTTTCTTAAATAACCCTCTTTTTACTTCCTTGTACGAAGTGAAAAGGAGGTATTGTAATCGCGAAAAGTTGCAGTCCAGCTCGTTTATTCAACGAAATATCCATTTTACCGCTAACAAGGGCCAATTTTAACGATGTTTTGCGTGGACATCCTGTACTTAAAGACATAATCAAAGACTCTTTTCCTCCAAAAAAATTATAACAGCTTAAATGATTCTGAAGCGAATTTTTTCGTGGTTCTGTACATACTATGTAATGTATCTCGCAAACTCAAAACGAGTGGCCTCAGACGTTTAAATTTTGCATGTAGTACTGCTATAACATGTAGATGTGCACCTCGTATTTGGGTTGGCAATCGGCCGCACCAAACGGTATACAACGAATTTGTATATATATATCCCTGTGTTACCCGGTTCAGTGATCTCAGTTTCTTTACTCTTATATTTTTGTAAATTGTGCCTTTTTTGCTTTAAGAAGGATTGAATTAGTTGCTCGTTCTTTCGGTTTAAAGTTTTTATGCCTTTAGAAATCTGCAACAATATTTGTATAATTTCAACCGTTTAAAAACTGTTTAAGTGCGGTTAAGCCCTAATGTTTAAATAAAAGGGCGGATATGGTTGTTACATTTGAACAGCAGAATAGTAGATTTTTTGCTAATCTAGCGAGTGGGCGTTTTCCTGGTTTTCCCATGTGTAACGTATATACGAGCCAGTTTCCCCTTAGAGAGTCCTCCCGCAGGCATCCCTCCCCTTAGGCAGAATAGCCCTCGTGTTGCTTTGCCATAATTAAATAACCTCACACACCATCTAGAGAGACAAGCTTCGCCAGCACAGATCACCGTCTTCTTTTATTATTGCGAATTAAAGCCTGCTTAATCCTTTGTGAAGTTTTCGAGGAAATAAGTGTTTTAAGCATTTACTTCGTAATTTTTTAATTACTATTTTAATTTTTGTTTACTTTTGCCCTTGTCGCGATGTGAATAACTGAATTAATGACTGATAACTACTGAATCTTCTGTGAAAAACTGTTCGTTTTTGTTTTTGTTTGCTTAATTTCTTTTGATACCTCGTTCTCAGATTTATATAGTATTTGACTAGACATTGGCAATGAATTAGATAATTCTTGAAATAATACAAATTTTGTACATTCTGAGTTATAATATAACGATAATAACGCTGTTAATGAACCTAGCGCAAGAGTGTCGCTATGGTAAACAGATATAGTGAATTTAAAAGAGTACATTTATTATATTTGATCTTATGCGCTATCGACGAAGTAGATTTAATGAGTTTAAATGAAATCCAATAAGTTTAAATGAAATGCAAGACAAAGTGCGTATAATTTAATATTCCATACAATGAAGTCATGTGGTGTACACATCAGATTTTTTAAATAAATTTGACACTTTTTTAAATAATGCAATAAAATGTGAAACTCACATTTCTGCTTAAGAAAGAATAAGCCATAGTAATAATTCACTTCCTTTTTTTTTTTTTTTTTTTTTTCCATGCGTTATGGTTAGAGTTACTATGCCATTATTAACGGAATAATAGAAAACGTCCTTTTAAGTAATGATTATATCAAATTTTAGGCTTTAGGTTTCCCAGAATGATTTCAGATGAGGCAAAGGAATTTCAGATTAATTTAAAAATAAGAGAAATCTTCAGTGAGCAAAGGGAACTGAGAAAAATATAATTTTTTTTTAAAAAAAGTAATATCATGAATCTCGCCAATACGAGATAAAGAAATCAGCGGTTTCTTTGCACGTCTTTTAGCCTTTATAGTATATGATATGGATTTGCATCGATATAGTGATCTAATAAGCATTATTCACTTACAGAAAATAACATAACTGCTGACTTCAAATGCATCAAAGATGGACTGTACCGAAATTCTGAGAGTTGTGAGCATTATATCCAATGTTCTAAAGGCATTCCTTATGAAAGATCATGTTCGAAAGGTTTACATTTCAGCATAAAGACCCATAGTTGCGAAGCACCTTGCGACGCTCACTGTGATCAAATCTACGGTAAGTTCAAAACATTCAAGATTTTTTTTTCCAAATTTCATATCATCTTTTTTTAAATCTACAAAAGTTTAGAATTATCCGCAAGAGTAAAAAATACTTCCTGTGTTAGTTTAGAATAATGCGTTAGTTCTACCACTAGATTGAAATTTAGCTGAATAATTAGTTAAGTTTGAAGTAGAAATATGAAAATCGAATATTTAGATTCTTATTGCTACTTTGTTCATTTATCAAAAAACATATATTTTAAAGAATAGAAAATTATAAATTTGTTAAATGTTTCAGCGGAAGAATGTGGATGGAAATATTCTGGTGAGTAAAATTTTTCAAAAATCCCTTTTTTAGTCATACTATAAATGAGAATACCGCATCAGAAATTCATAATAAAAAGAAAGTAGAAATTTTTAACAGATTTAATATTGTAACTATGAATAAAAGTAAAGCTTTCTTGTTAGAAAGCATGCAAATTACGATATAAACAAGAATTAAACGAGGAAAAGGAATCATAGATAGAAATTACTAAGAATGACGCAAGCATACTTCGATGGCTATCATCAATAAATTGATGAATAAAATAGCTGATAAAAAGTAAGATCTAAACCAGAATTAAAGATTTTGATACAGAAATGGGAAAAAAATCAACGCATGATTTATATTTTCAGAGACTGGTATGAAGAAATATAAACCAGTAATTGAGAAAATTCGAAGTTGGGCATTTGATTTTAAATTTGTGATATAGTTTGTTTAGCAGTTTAAGCGAAACACAACCAGACTCTCTGGACAAAAAGAAGGATGCTTACAGAGAACTCTCTTGGAGCAAATACCGGTTCAGCTAACCACTGGCGGGCTCTGATTCTTTGCTCAGAGCTAGATTTGAATTTACATAGAATTTGAATTTTGTTATAGAATTCTGAAGCAACTGGTTTTTGTCCTTATGTCATTCCAGTAACAATAAACAAGCCTTCTGCAAATTTATGGTAAAACAGCATCATCTGGCAGTAAGGATCACTCAGATTATTGACAAGTTTACAGGGCTTTCCTTCGTTTGAATAATCAATTATTTAAATTTTTGTTATATTTTCTGAACTCCTCATTTCTTCTTGCATTTCCTCGCTAAGATGCAAAGTAAGTTAAGTGAAGAAGCGTATTTAAACGGGCGAAAAAAAAAAGTTGAACGTGATTTCGCTAAAGTACAGAGGCAACTTGCTATTTTGTTCTTTCTGCTGTTAATCTTAGCTACTGACACACCTTGTGGCCGTTTATTAAAACCTATCGCCGGTGTAGATTGCTGAGTCAGTCTGTTGGTTTTAAGTAATCCAGCACTACTCCTTGCCATTTATTGTTAAATTATTCTGAAGTTTCTAGTTGAAGCAATCGGTGTTATTGCGAGCACGAAGTACGTGCACTATTTGTTAAAGATTTTTAATCAAATAAAAGGGAAAAGTTAAACTCTTTTCCTGTGCTCTAGTTCTTAATGTCTGTGCGAGAAGTTGCCCGATTTATTACTAAGATCGTATCTTTGCATAATAGTTAAAAGAGTTCTGTCTTACAAGCTTGCAAACTCGGAGCTGTTATATGTTTCGTTACATAATTTAAAAAAAAAATTACTGAACAGTTAAGAGGAACTACAATATCTCACAGTGTTATTTGATGTATCTTCTAATGTTATACATGAGGGGGCGCGAGACAATGCCAATGGTTTTTCCGTCTCTCGTAAACTATCAACTGTCCTTTGCAAAGCAAATGACAACCGGTAATAAATGACTTTCAAAGAATTTCTTGTCACAGACAAAAAAAAAAAAAAAAAAAAAGTATGAAAATTGCAATTCAGCTTACGTTTCGGCCTCAAGACTTTAACTCGGGGGCACTCATCAGTTTTATCACTTGTCGTCAGGAGCATATTTGCTTAGTGGATACTTAAGGTGAGAAATGATACCATTTTTTCCCTTTTATGTGTTATGCCTTTTTTAGGAAGACTCACCTGAACTTAATAAATATCGTACACGTTTATTCTTGTTATATACCTTTATGACTGTTACGACAATAGTTTTAAAAAAGTTATTGCTTCCTTGTACGAAGTAAAGGAAGTATTGTAATCACGTAAAATTCCATTTAAGCATTTTTCAACGAAAATATCCATTTTGACCGCTATCGAATGCAATTTAACGATGTTTTTGTTTGACATCTGTACGTATGAACTGACATCTGTATGTATCTGTACGTATGAACAGATTAAAAGACTGTCCCCCCCCCAAAAAAATTTTAAACTGATTTAAAATGAATTCTAAAGAGAATGTTTAGTGGCGTCTGTGCGTACATACGCACGTACGTATGTATGTATCTCGCATAACTCAAAAACGAGTAGCTCAGAACGGTGAAAAGTTTATATATAGACTTCTATAACATGTAGAGTCACCTCGTATTTTTGTTGGCAATCGGTCGCGCCAAACGTATTACATATATTTATTAATATATCCACTCGTTTTACCCGGCTTCAGTGATCTCACTTTCTTACTCTTAATGTTTGAAATTGTAATTTTTTGCTTTAAAAATGAATGAATTTGTTGTTCTTATCTTCCGGTTAAGGTTTTATTCCTTTACTACATCTGTATGCAATATTTTTCGAATTAGCAACATTTAAAAGTTGTTCAAGTGCCGCGAAGCCTAATAATTCTTTTGATGGCGGCCCTTGCCTGTTTACCCTGAACAGTATAGAAGTGAATGTGTTGCCAATCTAGAGAACGTAGCTTCGGACCAACCAAGATAACGCCTTCATTTATTATTGCGAATTAAATCATGCTAATCCTTTCTGGAAATTTTTCGATTAATAAGTGTTTTAAGATGTACTTTAATTTTTATAATTTAATAATTTTAATACAGATCTTTTGGAAGTTTTTTATGTATTTTTGCCTTGCGTGAAGTGAGACTGAATGAAATGGAAGAGAAATACTCAATCGTCTGTGAAAACTGTTCTTTTTGTTGTTGCTTAATTTCTTTTATACATCGTTCTAGCTTTATGTATAGTATTTGAATGGAACATGGTAAGCAACGATTAATATTCTTTAAATTTTAATTTTGTGCTTTCTGAATTATATTAACGAATATATGCTGTTTAAGTGAACTAGCGCCAGATTTCGCTAGGGTAAACAAATAGAGTGAATTTAAATAATGACTTTTCTATTGTGTTATTCGCTGTCGCGAGTAGATTGATTACATTGAATAAGTTTACACGAATGCAAGAAAAAATGCGTATAATTTAATATTTCGTACAAGGAAGTCATGTGGTGTACACATCAGATTTTTTTATTAGCTATATCTACCTATATTTCCTGCTTACTGCAAATGGTATGAGTACATCGTTCTTCCCATTTATTCAAATTAGCTTACAATAAGCATATATATAAATATATATACGTATGTGTGTATGTATATGCATTATTATTATTTTAAATTTATAAATTAAAAAAGATTGATTCAGTTAGGAATGTTCCTGACGATTTCGAATGCATTAAGGATGGACTGTACAAAAACTCCTATGGCTGCGACAATTACATCCAATGCTCCGATGGCTTGGCTTTCGAACAAAGTTGCCCTTTCGGTTTGCATTTCAACGAAGATACCGAGCGCTGCGAAATGCCTTGTGACGCTCACTGTGACGAAAGCATTGGTAAGTTTTACATTTTTTAATGCTTAATAAGATTATAAATTATTAAGAATTCATATTATATGATATTAGATTTATCGTCTTTGAAAATATTTATTGGGATTTTGAAACTGTTGAAGTTTTAAAACTATCCTTAAAACTGTAAACGATTAAAGAAGACAAAACCGTATTTTTGTCTTAAACGTGCAGCATGACAGAAATTAAACTCCACATTCTTGGGTACTGGATAGATTGCCGAAGAGTCGAATGACTCTCTGAATGAATAAAGAAGTCCAGATTTGAATTTCTTTAATTTTATCAATGAGGCCGCGGAAAGTCCTAACTTATATCAAGGCTATCAAAGATCTGCAGCTTTTCAGAGAAAATACAAGCACATCATCAGATGTGCTTGTATGTCATGAGACTTATTAACTTTCCTTCAGACTTCATTCCATTGTAGACTAACGTGTTTTACTGGCTTGAAAGCATCTGCCAAATCCGTGTTGTACACAAAACAGACTTTATGATAACACAAAACAGACTAATTTTGATGTACACAAAAGAGACTAATTTTGATGAATTATTCATTCAAAATTCTGCAAACTTTCGTATAGTGATGGATATACGGGGCATTTTAAAGTTGCAGGAAAATGAAAAATGCTCATTAATAGTAAACTTTTACAGCAAGATGACTAACAGAGATGAAGTTTTGAAGTAACGATAACGAATTATTTTATAAACAATTAATTATAAAATAAATTTTTAAGCTTGTCAGTTTTAGTTAGAATCTAATGATCTCCGATTTTACAATTTTAATGAAAGGCAATAATCTAGGGATTATTTCAAGATTTATAAAATTATTTTTATTGGTAAATATATATAGTTAAATAAAAAAAAATTACAAGAAAAAAATCTGAAAGCTTACAGATTTTACATTACGCCCAAGGAGGCCATTGTTCTCACGTTTTGTGTGTTGCCTTTATTTATTAAATATCATGTTTTTCTCACTTAAATAATTAAATTTAGATCAAAAGAAGTATCGCAAAGTAATTTTAAATTGAGCATATCTTTAGAATTTCTGATAAACAGTCTCGCGCTCTGGCGATAAAAATGTTTTTTTTTTTCCATACAGTGTAGCCGTTGCTCGCTTTGAAATCGTCGAGTTTGTTAATGAAAAATTCGTTAAAGTTTTTGAAAATATGAAATAGATAATAAAACAAATTCCAGATTCCAAATTTCGGCTTCCAGATGCACATATTCGGATGGAAACGTACGTTATTCAAAATTGGATGGCTCTAGGAACCGTTCTTTTATTACAGTGTGAGAAACATTCATATATTTATGCAGATTCTTCATTATTCAATTTCTTTAAATATAATGCAGGTCTCTAATATTAGGTGGCAACAATTTGAAAAGGGAACCGACATTTATAGCGAACAAACTCAAAATGCCGAAACGAAATTAATAGTCTTCTGGGTAAATTGAACCTTTGGTTTAATAATAAATATTTAAATAATATAGCTTTATATATATATTTGGCGGGTAAGATTTGAAGTTCCATTTCGGTTTTATAATGTAGGTAATTCGAAGTTTCTTTGATGAATTATTCATTTTTACTACACCATATTTAATGCTATATCACACGTTTCTTCTAATTATTATAAATTTTCTTTCTAGTTATTTTACTATTATTAATTAGTCTAAAATCTCTTTGTAGACAAGCTATATTTCATTACTTAGCACGTACTAGACTTAAGAACGGTCAGTTGCTATTCCATGTCGAATTAATATTTTTTAATTTCAGAGATTTTGTTGCTCTAATGTTACAGACTTGAACTGAATCTTCTTTTTATTTTTATTTTGTACTTTTAGGATCAAATGTTCATCTGTTATTATTCTTTCCTACGTTGGATTTCTTCTGTTTGTATAATGTAGATTGTTTCATAGTAAGTAGTAGATAACTATTTTAACAGAACTTTATGGATATATAAAGAAAACGCTTTGGCTTTATATTAATTACAATAGATTTACAAGAGTCATTCAACAGAAGGACTGTACAAATTGCATTATTATATTCAATTAAGGATTTCAATAATTGTGAACTTTTACAATTTTTTCATGAAAAATTTAGGAGAGTTTTTATGATTTGGAGAGACAATTCGAAGAAATTCAATCACTTCTATCTAGAGAGAAAACGAACTCGTAAACTTTCAGAATTAGATTATACCTTTAAGTTATATGTTATGTAATGTTCTGTTTTTATAATAGATCTAGATTACATTTTTATGTGTCATTTTGTATGTTTAAGAGATGAGAGAGTTAATCAACAAAATGACTGTACATAATGAGAACTAACGGCTATGTCCTTGAAGAAAATTATTTTCTTTCTTATTGAAAAAACAATATTTCATATACTGCACAGACTTTATCTTCATTTGCTAATTGTCTAATGCATTTTGGTTTTCTATAAAGGCTTTTCTATAGCCAAATATTTTTATATCTAAAGGGGGGATATGAAAGATATAATAAACGAAAGCATTCTACTAAATTTAATTTGGCAATCGTCATTTTTATTCCTTATTTTAATTTGGCTACTTCCGTTTCCTGTCTTAAAATTACCAACCTTTTAAAATATATGAATCTGAAGTACGTCATCTCAAAATTAAACTGCATCATACCATCTTATGTTACGCGCAGAATGCTGATACATTTTATCCAATCACAGACCAAAATTTCAAAAAAAGAACCGACGCTATATCTCTGTCTGCTGCTAAATGTGTACTTACTTCCCCGCTTGGCCTTCTCTGCTAATGCGCTGCGGTTAATCACTGTCTATCGTCGACTGCCTGAAAATGTAAGCTTCCAAAAGTTGTAATATGCCTATGATGTATGAAGCCGCCCAAATGGGATAGTGACTATGACTGTCCTATCTAAGGGCCCGGGTACGAATCCCCTGAGAGGTATGGATGTAAGTGTATAGGCCTGTGCGGCATGGAAACACTCTAAATATGAGGCGAGGCGAATGTTTTCTAGAGAGGTGGGTGATAGGGGATCCTCGGAGCCGTCCCCCTGGGGTGCTTTCTCTCCAAATTTGGGGCGGAACTGAGTTAAAATCAGCCTGTCACCTATAAGGTGACAACGACAGGCGCGTTTGACTCCTTGCCACAATGAATGTCGTGAGCTTGTGCTCATCATTGTCAGCGAAGTGAGATTCTTAACAACAGCATAGCATCAACAATATGATGTGTGAATGAGAATATGTATCGCAAGAATTAAGTGTCAAGCAATAAATCATGTCTTGTCTTCAGCCACGTCTGTCTATAAATGTCTATAAGTGTCATTTATATGTACATACGGTCAGGACTTCCTGCTAGACTCGCCTTCGTTACATCTCTCGCCGTCCATTGCAACTGGTATCCAATCCTCAAGATGTATATATATATATATATATATATATAATAATTTATTCCAAAACGTATTGATTATTGATTATATTATTCCTAAGTTTATTAAAGTAGAATTTTTAAAATGTGCATCTACTGGAAGTTATATTTGAAGATGTTTGGGATTAAGTTCAACAACATTATATATATATTATTATATAGATATATATACATCTAAGCAGAATAAATGAATTTAGATAAGATATCTCACGGTTTTAATGAAAAAAAAAAAACGAAAGGTTCAGATTTTAAATACGTCCAAGGGGTTTTTTAACTTTTGTGGTACTTTATTAAAGTCACGTTCTCACACTGAAACATAAATTTCAGGTCAATAGCATGCCGGCAAATAATTTAAAAGACCTATTCAGAATGCCAATACACAGTTCCGCGCGCTGGAGATCAAATCCTTTTCCGTAGATTGTTGCCTTGCTCGCTTTTAAATCGTTGAGTTTTACTCAAAATTCGTTTTAAAGTTTTATAAATACGAAATCGATATAAACAAATTCCAAATTTCAAATTTGGTCAATCCCTATTCGCAAAATCGAAATACAAAATCGAAACTGATCATAAAACAAATCCAAATTTCATTTTTGTCACATGCCCATTCGCAGTAGGATGACGTAATTCAAAATTCTATGGTCTATGTACCGTGTGTATCCAATGCGGAAATATAATATAGCTATTTTCATTATTTAATTCTTCAAAATATGCAGTCTCTTAAATCGGCAAACAGTTCGAAAAGTAAAACGGACTTTATAGTGAGTGTTTCAAGCAAACGCCAAAACGAAAACAAAAGTCTTAAGGGACAACGCGCTTGGATAATAAAATGTTTTCAGATCTACTTGTTGAGCAAACGCTACATAAGCTAAAATCCTAAATCATCTGTAAGATGCAGAGCCAAAATAAAAGTTAAGTAAAATATTGTCATAAAATGTCCAGGCGCGGTATGATAGCTTCCCCGCAAGGCAGGTCTAGTGTTGCCAGAAATGACAAGGGAGGACTGGGTTGCCATATTTGGCGATAAATCACCCATTAGGCGACAAAATTGGCGATATGCCGTAGGCGGATGGAGAACCTTCTGGAACGAATTCTGACTGGTTTAGCCCAGAATGTTGTCGAGCACAAGCCAAAAGCTAGATATATCCTGCTGGTACGCTGAGAATCAGTCAATATCGAGTCGATCGAGTTGATATTCAGTCAGTGAGTCCCTAGTCGAGTCAGTTAAGAGTCAGCGAGCGAGGTGACGTAGTCAGTTGCCGAGTTGGGTGAGTGATCGAGATAGTGTCTTAGTGCATCGTCGAGTTTGATTTAAGAGTGTGTTGAGCTCCGAGAACGATCGAACCGAGGCAGGACTGGTACTCTAGTGCATCGTCGTGTGCATCGAGTTGTAGCGTTGAGAGACTCAAGAGTACGTACAGTTCCGAGAACGACCGAGCCGATCAGGAGCTTTACTCTGGTGCTTTGCCGTGAAGCTGTGTTCACCGTTATAGCCTGATAGCCTGAAGACTGTGTCGCTGATTGTTCCAGCGTGTTTATAGTAGTTCTTTGACGACTGTAAACGTGTTATTGGATCAGTCTTGAATAATGCTGGCCAATCAAGTGTCGTCGTTATTTACCCCAAATCCACGAACTCGTACCATAACGTACGTGTAGAGAAAAACGTAACAATATTAAAATTAAATTTTCATGTTCTGGAAGATTAACAAGTCAGAGGTTTCGCCTTCTGTCAATTCTCACTTCTCAAATTTAGTCTTTTCCACAACAAAAGTGAATTCAGCTTACTCAAGACCCATACCTACGCACATCTTCGAGCACTGCCGTTAGCTTACACAAATCGTCACGAAGTTATTTGACTCCTATATAAGTGAATATTACTTATAACAGGAATCAGCGCAAAGCTGTTCGACAGGCTTACCTTGTGGAGACATTAGGTTAACTGGAAGCAGGAGAGATGAAAAATAAGCAACACTTTCGCCGGGAATCGAATCGCGGACCTCCGGAATACGCTCCCAGCGTGCAGACCACCACACCACGAAGGCATGCCAACAAGGCGGGAGATATATATATACCCCCCCCTTTTAAAGGGCGACTGAGGTTTTTAGGGGACCCGAAAGCTGGAGAAATGAAAAAAAAAGCAACACCTTCGCCGGAATCAAACCGCGGACCACTGGAATACGCGCCCAGCGTGCAGTCCACCACATCACGAAGGCATGCTAAGAAGGCGGGATAAATACTTTATTACCTGTTAAATTCTTTTTTTTTTTTTTGATGTTATTTCGTTTGTGACCTAAATGCTATTCTTTGAGTCTTATATTCTGGAAAAGGTAGACGGAATCAAGAGAATAAACGGAAACGAGTGATAAACGAAAAAAAAAAAAAAATTGCCTAATTTAAAAGTAGAGAGCATTTTAGTGACATGTAAGTCTGTTTTCATAATTAATGAATTTTAATATTTCAGCTTCTTATTTCTGAAATGGATACTTAATACAAGTTTTGTTATTAAGTTTAATATATAATCTTTAAAAAAAAAAGGAAATTTTCAACCTCTTTCCTTGCGTTTCAGGTGAAGAATGTGGATGGGTAGAGTCGAATTTCACTTCTAACCATGGTAAGTAGAAGCCATTTCTCCTGGATCAAAATTACACTATACCAAGAAATAAATTTTAAAATCTTAAAATCTTTCCATACTAAAACTAGAAAACGATACTTTTGAGTAATGGAACTATCAATTGTAAAATATTGAGATCCTTCCATACTAGAAATAGAAAACTATGCTTTTAATTAATGGAACTAGCAATTTTAAAATATTGAAATCTTTCCATACTAAAATTTGAAAACTATACTTTTTAGTAATAGTCCATAGTGCTAACAAATGTATGCGTTATTCCCTAAATAGTGCGGGTTTTTTATACTTCTTTTATTTTTCCAACAGTTTTTTTCAAAACTAAAAGATGCTCTCCTTCATCCTCAGCTAGCTCTTAATAGTTACAAATAGTTTGTCCCCACCGCAGTGTGCAAGACATCCTTGTCGAGCTCCGCAGATCTTCGCAGGTCTTCCATGAAGATTCACGTCTTCTAGGCTTGTAGTTTCCGGCTTGCTATTTCTGGCACCACAGCTATTATTCGTTTATGTTTATTGAGCAGTGCCTATACTGTATTAATATTCCTATTAATAATTATTTAATTGTACTAAAAATTGACCAATATGCTCTTTTATCACTTCCGTTTTAGCTTTGAAGAAATAACTTAAAATCGAATTACTGTCTTCAAAACTCGCTCTAAAAATAAAAACATTGTAAAATTACTACCTGCTTTTCTACAAATTAATGCAGGTAGTTTATCCCTTCCCTCTTCGAGCTTCGCTAAATTGAAAAGATCGCATTATTTATGGGATGCCCTTAAATATATATATATATATATATATATACAGGGTGTACTGTAAATGTTGCGCCAAACTTCTAGGCGAGGTAGGGTTCATCATAAGGACTAAGAATTGCATAGGAACCCGTCAGGGATAAGTGGTAGCATAGGTAGAAGATGGGAAAAGAAGCAAGAGTGATTAATTTGAAACATTTATTAGACATGAATACAAATGGTGTACGACAGCTTGAATGTTACAACAGATGCTCGAAGTTTGCATCATCAGACGCCAAATATGCCTGACACCGACGGACTATGATTGCCGGATATGTTCAAACATAGCGGAAGTTCCTTTGATTGTAGCAGCTTCGCAGGGGAGTCTTGCCACGAGATCCATTTCAGACACAACAGGACCGTGATACACGACACATTTTAAAGGCTTCCCGAAAAACGAAATCAAGGCTTGATAAATCCGGTGAGCGTGGGAGCCAGGGAGCTAGTCCACCACGCCTAATCCATCGAAGCGGGACTGATTTGTTCAAATGGCTACGAACATCCAGTCCAAATTGAGCAGGGGCTCCATCATGTTGGAATCACATGTTGCGCCTCACATTTGGTGGAACATCCGCCAACTAAATCGGGAAGAACCTGCTCCAGGAAGATCAAGTAATTCGCGGCATTAAAATGGTCCGTCGGTGTCAGGCATGTTTGGCGTCTGATGGTGAAAACTTCCAGCATCTGTTGTAACATTCAAGCTGTCGTACACCATGTGTATTCATGTCCAATAAATTTTTCAAATTAATCACTTTTGCTTCTTTTCCCATCTTCTACCTCCGCTAACACTTACCTCTGATATTTCGGAGTATAGGTTCCTATGTAATTCTTAATCCTTATGATGTGCCATCTCCCCTAGAAGTTTGTCGCAACATTTACGGTACACAATGCATATATATATATATATATATATATATATATATATATATGTATGCAAGAGAATGCGTAGAAAGATCCCGACTTATCAAGGAGAACTGGCAGCTTTCCATACAACCAAGTAACAATTCATGAGGAACGCGTTTCATTATATCGCATTTCTGAACAGAATCCCACCTCTAATTTAAAATTTTCTCTTCAGCTTTATAAAATCCGACTTTAAATCTTACAGAAGCTCAGAAATGTGAAATGATTCCCCGGCCATCCCCGACGCGCAGATAGAAAATTAATTATAATTAATTAAAAAAATAAATATAGTATTCATACAGAATAATACTTAAATTAAAAAATAAGAATTAATGAATAAAACGTAATAAAATGAAGACGCAAATGTAATGAAATAAGCAAATAAAAGTCAAACAAACATGGAATTTTCGAGCTTATCTCATATTTACACTTCTTTATACGTTCCAAGTATGTAAAAGTAAATTAAAAAGTGATATTATGCGAAAGTAATTTTCATTTCAGTAAAACAATGTGAAATTACATTACTTTCTTGTAGCTACGCTTGTACCTGTTGAATTACGATGCTATGAGGACGGAATATACGAAAACCACCAAGACTGCGGACGCTATATTGTATGTTCCAGCGGTGTAGCCCATGAAGAATCCTGCCCCGAAGGTCTACATTTTAACTCTGAAAAGAAGATATGTGAAGATCCCTGCGATGCCCATTGTGATAGTACTATTTGTAAGCTGAGATACTTCTAACTAAAATTTATTTATAAATTTATTTTTGAAATTATTTTTTTTCATAATCTGTTATACGATTTATTCTTATCTGAAAGAAAAAAAATCATTAGAAGGGTGTAATCCATAATTTCGGATTGTCCATATAAAGAATCCATAACAGCAGTTAAACGTTCCATACAGCCAAGTCTATTGGAAAAAAAAACTATTTGTTTGTATGCAGTGTAACGTCAGAACACCGAGAACTGGAACACCCAGAACGTCAGAACTGGGTGCAAAAAAAGACAGGTTGTCTTTTAAAATATTTATTTTAAAAACGTAATAAGAAATTATTGATTAAATATTAAAATAATTGAATCATTACAGCCATAATTTAAGCAAAGGCCGCTAACGCGACGAGGACGCTAATTTGCGTCTGCTTTCACTCATTTACAGCATCAAAAGCCTTTTACCCAAAGTTCTTTCCTTGTTTTTTTAAAAACCTGGAAAGAGAATAATTAGTCCCTTATGACCGGAAACCACACTGGGGAGGGTTCCGCTGCACCTTTCTTCCAAAGGTCTGCTGTCCATTCTGTTGCTGAGAAAAAAATAGCTCTCATTAAGCACCTGGAAGTCCGAGGAGTGCGTATGTCTGAACGTTTAGCAGGCAATGCTCATATATACCATTTGTATTTCTCACATATACTATTTGTAATGGTCATACATATCATTTGTACCGCCTTATATAATGCTCAAACTTTCTAAATGCTAATAACAGAGAAACTAAATGTGATCTTAGTGAAACTTTTGTATTCGAAGAGACCATCTGTACGTTGAGAGTGTGTGTGTGTTACTGCTGTATAGGTGTACTGTTGTTTTTAGTTTCGTCACATCTTCCCCTCAAGTCCTGCTTTGCTGCCTCATCGTAACGAATGGAATGGTTGAAGTACGTCCGGGGCTTAGCTCCTGGTAGGGTCACCCTAAGCATGAAGGCCATTTCTTTATGCACAGCTAAAGAAAGCAGGTGAATCTTTGAAGAAACGTCAGACTTCTACCTCAGGTGTTTCAGGTCTTATGGCTCACGTAAGCTATAACACTTCCCCCTTTATCATAAATCCAGTTGCTTCTGGTTTTAATCATCTTGTATTTGGACTCGTGGAATTGGTCTAACATGTATGACCACGTCGGGGATTAGAAACAACAACAGTTTTCCGTCACATACCGCCAAGAATTATGTAAGCGAATTTTAAAAAGTGATCGGAATATTGAGAATATGTACTCACATGTATAAATTATGGAATTAACTTGTCAAGTTTGAGGAGGAAAGAATCTGAGTGATCCGAAGAAAGGATGGTGCAGCAACTGAAGTACAACACATGATGTGTAGAGATGGGATTACTCACTTTCATGGTGTAATAAAGCCACGTATATGAAACTGAGATTACCTGTTACCGTATCACCACTGAAAATATTGTGCCCATGAATGTGATATGAATTAACAGCAGCAACAAAGCACACCATCTAGAAATGTTCAGTTCCGGACGACGCTTACTGGTTTAAACGGGAGGATTCCTAGAAAAAAGTGCACCGCCTGAAGCGAAGTCCCGCCTAGCTACGGAAGAAATGTTGCGGCTATGCGGGATTTTTAAACCTCACCGAAAACGTCTCGGGTCCCGTGTAGAGACAACCAATCAGACGAAAGTTCTGCTTCTGAAAAATCACGTGATTCCGATTTGAGCGATAATCGATTACTGTTTGGCGTTCAAATCTTTGTAGTAAGTGAGAATGGTAACCTAGCTACGTGGGTTTTGGAATTGTGCTTCTTAGTTCCCTTTCGAATTGTCCCTTTCGACGTTACCGATATGATTGGGCCATTAGTAAATTCGACATGCATCGGAATATATGAGGAAAATGGATACAGCACAATAGTACAAAAAATCAAGAAAATGAGTGGATCGTGATTAAACAATACAGCTAACTTCTTCCCTAACTTCTTTATCTGTGAGGGGGAAAACTATCTCTTTTATGATGTTATGCTGTTAATATCATGGCAGATCGTTATAGTAGATAGGGACAGAACGCCAAAGGAAAGATTCCATCACCCAGCAGCTACTTCTGAGCCACAGCCACCATAAATAGATTTAGTGTCCAAACCTCTGGAGGCTATCCGGAAGCGCGCCACTCCCGATCAACCCACGGGGACTTTACATGTCAGACATCATCCATCGCCGACCGTTGACCGGGGGACCCGGACAGCCCTTATAAATCAACCCATGAAGGTCAACCATGTAACCTCTCTACCACCAAGGTCCCGGACAAGACAGTACTAGTACGGTCCCTGCTAAGCCCAACTGAATATACGATGACTCTAGTCCTATGAAGACCTGCAGGCCGAAGCTACTTACCCTGCAGGCCGAAGCTATTTAACCTGCAGGCCGAAGCTGTCCAGACACAAGTCCAGCCAGTTGTCTGGAAGGTCCCCAGGTGTCCTCCCACACATAGTCTGTTCCGGAAATTCCATCCAATCGGACCGCACGGATGGTTGTCCAACATCATTTGCCCAGGCCAGCATAGCCGACCTGGTTACCAGCAGGGACTACGAGGAGACCGATGTTGAACTGGGGGAGGGAAAAAGTATTATAATTCTCTCATCGCGAAATCACTTTCGGGCATTTCACATGGCTCAGGATCATCCTGAAATAAAACACTCTGTTTCTATAATGAGTGGGAGGAAAAATACCCTAGTTTTTTTTAGGAAAGATAGATAGAGTCGAAATGACCTTTCTGGCTCACTTTTCCAAAAACCTGAACGACTCTGTCTGATGTCAAGTTTTTTTTTATCAAAATATATATGTTTTTAAAATATTTTTTTCAAACTCGAAAAATATTACAGAAAAAAACGAAAATATCTGAAGTTTTGGGAATAAAAAGAACATAAAAATGTATGTTTCTTAGATATGAAAAAATACATAAAATTTTAAATTTCTGGAATAAAAATAGCATAAAAATATACGCTTTAGGTATCAAAAACTCTAAAAAAATATTATAAAAATTTCAAATATAAGTATTTAAACAGGATATAAAAATGTATGTTTTTTAGAAACGAAAAGGTTTAAGTGTTTAAAATAAGAGATAAACATCAAATGAATATAAAGACGACTCAGAGTTAGAAAAGTTAAACTTTTTTAAGATTCTTGTTCAAATTCATACGAATATTCTTCATTAATCATACCTCTATAGTTGAATAAGTAATTCAATTTATCGTAATTGCTTTGATAGAAAATTTTCCATGATGTTTTTTAAGAAAATATTATTTTTCTCCATCATCTACATCTATTTTCACAATACATGAATCTGTATACTTAGTTTGAATTTTTCTCAGTAAGATCAGATTATGTTTCCATTCTAAAACTCTAAAATGTTTTATTTTTAAAGTTTTAGGATGACATACGAGAGTATTGAATTCTTCCATTTATTAGCAAACATTTTTTAAAGGTCTTTAGGTTTAAGATTTCTATAAACCAGAATTTAAAAATAATCTCATCAACAATATAAGTTCTTTTAAATATAATATAAAATTTCTAACCCTTTCAGTTTAAAAGCAAAATACTTAGCATGAAAGTAGAAACAATGAGCTTTGAAACTTTATAGCTTACAGTACAAAAAATCAAGAAAATGTTCTTATTTAGCGGTATGTGTTTTTAGCGGTATGTGCTTATTTAGCGGTATGTGTTCTTATTTAGCAGTATGTGTTTCAAGTTTCTTATTTAGCGGTATGTGTGGTGTATTATTGCTTTTCAAATTACAATTCTTTCTGAATTTCAGGGGAACAATGTGGATGGCCAACTCCTAGTAAGTATTAATTTTAATGTACTCAACCTTTGCTTCAAATAGATTTAAAGAGCATTTAAAAATGCCTTTATACCTATGATGATGTCATGACTCAAGAAATTCCGTGTTTCAAATGCGAGAGCATTGGTATCATTTTCAAAACTTCATTCAACACTCGGGTGATGGAAATAATTATCAACATAGATTATAATCCAAAAAAAAAGACAATTATCTGAACAGCACAAAACAACATTTTATTACGAAACACGACATATTGATATAATTTCCGTATCTAGCAACGGCCATGAAAATCATAGCAAGTATTTCACGGCCTTCGTTACTTCAAGCTTCAAGTATCCGAATTCTACAAAGTTCAAGTACCAAGAGAGTTCTAAACATCAAGTTAATTTCTTTTACGCTTTTCTCTGCGCCCAACGAGAGCGCCATCTACTAAAAGCAGAACAATATCATTTACAAATAAGACATATAAATCTTATTTTAAGTCATTTTTAATTTTAGTTTTCTTTATTTTTATCAAAATGATGTTTACCAGTTAATATTAATCTTAAAATTTGAGTTTAATTTAAGAAATAAAAAATACCAGGTAACTAGTCATTCATTTCCGCATAGCTAAAACTTCTAAAATTTCGAAGTGATAGAATTATTATTCTGATTGTTACTGAAGCAAAATAGCGAGCATAAAAACAAGCTGCACGCAAAGAATTAAAATGATACTCCTTAGATTTCGCAATTAGAATGACTTGTGCGCGATAAAATAAGATTTATCAAACATAGAATGGTTTGTAAGTCATCAGTAATAAAAGTGACAAAAGTAATCACTAAAAAAAAAAAAAAACTATAAGCTTTTAAATTTTATATTACGCCCAAGGGGGCGTTTTTTTTAATGTTTTGTGTATTACCTTTATTTATGAAATATCATATTCTTCGCATTTAAAACATAAAATTCAATTCAACAGTAATATCAGAAAATAATTTACAAACAGCACATCATTAGAATTTCCGATACACAGTCTCGCGTGCTGGAGATAAAAATGTCCATTTTCCATTTTGTTAATTAAAATTCGTTAAAGTATTACAGAATATAAATAGATAATAAAACAAATTCCGAATTCTAAATTTGGGTTTCCAGATGAGCATATTCGAGTGGAGGAGTACGTTATTCAAAATTCTATGTCTCTAGGTACCGTTGTTCTTTCACAGTGCGAGAAACATACATACATTCGTGCAGATTCTTCATTATTTAATTTCTTCAAATATAATGCAGGACTTTAACATTTGGTGGCAATAGTTTGAAAAGTGAAACTGACATTTATAATGATTCAACGCAAAATCGCAAAACGAAAACAATAGTCCTTCAGGGACAAAGCACCTTTAGACTAATAATCGTATGTACAGAACGAAATCTTGATTTGCCGTGAGTGCAAAGGAGGATAAATTTAGTTCAACTGGAGATCTGATGATTTAAGACTAGTGTTAATCATTAAATAAAGTGGAGATAGGGTTTACTTCTTCCTGAGAATTTCTGCCTTTACAGAAACTTAAAGAATATTGTTGATCATCAGAATCTTAAAGAAAGTAACTGAATAATTTTTTTATCTCAGTTAGGCTTATCACTCCAGACTTCATATGCATGAAAGCCTGGACTGTACAAAAACTACAGGAACTGTAAAAGTTACATACAGTGTGTCAACGGTCTTCCGTATGAGTTGCCATGTCCTGGAGGATTACATTTTAACGCTGAGACGAAAAGTTGCGAAGAACCTTGCGATGCCCAGTGCGATGAAAGCCTAAGTAAGTGGGTGTAGACTGTATCTAGTTTTGTACGAAACATGCAATAGAAAAGATTTCATCCACGGCAATAAGTTTCTATTAATTTTTAAAGCACAGTCATATTATTAACTCGCTTTTCAACATGTTTTGTTTTCATTTAACTCAAATCTTTTACATATATTTTTAATAATGATGAAAACAATGCGAGAGAAATTTTTCTAAGGAACATTTTTATTTTTCAGGGGAATGGTGCGGACGGCAGGCTCTTGGTAAGCTAATAACCTAGCACTTTCTGTTGTTAATGCTGTTTCTGATTATCCACCTATATAAAGAGAATCATTGTAGCGAAGAGGCCAAGGCCGTGAGTTACTTACACATTACACAACCTCATCACCGTTTTGATCGAGAACACTGAGGTTGGACACCAAGGTTTCGTATCGCTCTTCCCCTTCCATCGATCGCTTGAGGGTACTTACAGCTTGGCCGTTTTTAACTACCCCAAGCCACAAAAGCATTACACAGCGAAATTTCGATTTAAGAATTTTATTCGTTTTCGAAGATCATTCATCATCCGAAAAGTTCGTCAACCGAAAGTAATGTTCCATAAGAATTCAGGCAAAATGGCAACCGCAGATAGTTACATATTTTATAAGGTATTTTTCCTGTTTTCGCGGTGTGGTGGTCTGCACGCTCGGCGGGCGCGTATTCCAGAGGTCCGTGGTTCGATTCCCGGCGAAGGCGTTGCTCATTTTTCACTTCTCCTGCTTCTGAAATAATACCTACAGCGGCATCCGAAGTAAAAGGGTGATGGATGATGATTCTCCACACCCAGGATTTGGCAATTGGGTTCCCTAAATCCTCAGTTGCCCTTTAAAAGGGGGAGTATGTAAGGTAAGGTATTTCTTCCGCCTTCTTAACGTGCCTTCGTGTTGTAATGGTCTGCATTCTGAGCGCGTATTCTAGAGATCCGTGGATCGATTCCCGGCGAAGGCGTCGCTCATTTTTAAGTCTCCCGTTTCCAAATAACCTAATGTCTCTACAATTTAAACTTAACAACAGTACATTGTGTACACGTTCATAACAGAAAACCAACGGAAATCATTAAAATCAGGCAAAATAATAAATGCAATATTAATCAGATAAAACAGATGAAAATTAAATTTAATTTCGCTGTACTTGTACGAAAGGGTGTGAATAGCATAAGTAGAAAATGATGAGGAAGAGGATGAGAATAGATGTTACTATCTAGGTAAGGGATCCCTTTCAATAAAACCAGCACGCAGAAAATTGGACGGAGCCCCAGAAATTCGCGTATGGATTTATAGGTTTTGCTCCGTCGCACTACAGTTCTTGCGCAAAAACCATCACTTTGCATACCAGCCCAGCAAGGAATCCACTATACAGTGTGCAGCGTTCTGATCTTCCTTCTATTGGGTGGCCCCTCTATGTTGCCGTCCTCCTTCGTTCATGCATTCTCTATTTCTTTATACACAATTTTAATTATTTTATTTTGATATACCAGTTGGTATTTTGATGATGCTTTGGTATCTATTTATTTTTTGTTGTCCAAAGGTACATTTTTTTATTCATTTTTTAGAGAATCTTGTTGGATGCATGTATAAATATTTTATTTCATTAGTTTTAGCATATATCAAGATAAGAGGTTTTTCTAGGGTATATTCTTTCATCTTTTTTTTTTGTCTCTTGGTGTCACTCGTTTCTGCTTCAGACTCACTTGGCCTCCATTGGGAGAAAAATTGCCTCACGTGATTTGTTATTATCAACGTTTTAAAATGTTGCTGAAGGGAGAAATGCATTGTTTTCCTAAATATATATGTTGTAGCTTGCTGCTACTTCAAGAGGAGATATCATTACCTTTGCATCTTGTTCTTTTTTGTAAATAATTCGCGGTCCAAGAACTGGGAACATCTTTTCTTCCTTATTCATTCTCTAGGGACATTTCTTTCATAATCGCCTTTTGTTGCCGTTTCGGAAGCTGCTGAAGTTCCTCTTAAGTCTACATTGTTAACTTCCAAGTCAAGGTTTTGCCTGGAGAGGCAAAATCTAAATAACAAAATAAGTCTTAAATGTCAAAAGGTCTATCTGCAAAATACAGTTTAGCCTTCATTTCTTGTAGAGACATTAGGATTTTTTTTTTTTTTTTTGGAAGCTAGAGAGATTGAAAAATAAGCAATGGGCTTCGCCGGGAATCGAACCACGGACCTCTGGAATACCGGCCCAGCGTGCAGAACCACTACACCACGAAGGCACGCTAAGAAGGGGGAGAAATACCTCATATACACCCCCTTTTAAAGAACGACTGGGGTTTTTAGGGGACCCAATTTCCAAATCCTGGGTGTGGAGAATCCTCATCCAACATCCTTTTAGTTCGAGCGCTACTATAGAGACATTAACATTTTTTCTAAGCCAGAGAGATAAAAAATTAGCAAACGCCTTTGCCGGGAATCGAACCACGGAACTCTGGAATACCGGCCCAGTGTGCAGAACCGCTACACCACGAAGGCACGCTAGGAAGGCGGGAGAAATACCTTATATTTTAACACATCGAATTTATGGTGGTGTTAAGGATAGTTAAGAAAAATATTAGGAATACTAAAATGATGTTTCAGGAAATCTCTGATTGTTGATTCTACAATTACTCCATTACTTTAATTACCTTAAAACACTTTTGTTAAATAATTTGTTGCATACGTAATTGTTCGTAATTAGAAACAACATTCGCGTCCGAATCGTTTTTTGCTCAGATAATTTTTTCGTGAATTAAATTGTTCAAAATGTGAGGCGTTCGTAATCCGAGGCTCCACTATATATTCCCAAACATACGGGATTCGAACTCCAGCCCAACGATAGAACAATGGACCGTTAATCAGCCCCCGTATCCAACGAGGCTGCTGATTCTCTTTTATTCTATGCTGATAATCCTTTATTCTAATTTTTTATTCTGATATTTTTTTCTATAAATGCATTCGATGCTAGTTATAATGACGGATCATTATAGCAAACTTTCATAACAATTGTCGATACAAAAGGTCCTCAATTCATGAAAGTCTTTTAATCTCATTTTCATTGCGATGTCTTTTTCCTTTTTGTCACTATGTAGTCATTATAGCGACCGTTAACTGTGTACTAAATGTTATGAAGAAAAGGTCTAGCAGTTCAATAGTTAACTTATCATCAATATAACTTGTAAACACCATTCTAGTGATTAATTTTAAAGAAGAATTTCTCCTAACAGCGATGTAACAAAACACCATCATACTTCTTGATCAGTTAAAAATTTACAATCTTAAAAATATGAAACCGTTGACGTAAAATTAAAACAGAAACCAGCAATGCCAAATTTTCTGTTACTAAATGCTACACTTAATCTAATTCTGTAAATGCTGTCTTTAAACAGATATTATTTGGCAAAATTTTGCCCAATATTTCCTCATAAGTACCACATAGCAAACTCAAAAAAAGTAATATACAGATAAGCGTACAAATAAACATATTTTTTTATATCACCAATGAAAGAACCAGTAAGAAATCACCAATGGAAAGCTTGTCTTGAACCAGAACACGAGGAAGTATAGAATTTGAATCTGAAGAAGTCTCTTATCATCAGAAAGTTTCTTATCATTAGCAGGTGGAGAACAGAAATGGTTCATGTTCATCGCAACCATCAAGGATTTTCTGAAAATGTGGGAAAGGGTCTAGATCTCAGCTAATAAGTGGCATCCCAGTGAATTTGAAATAAACAAAGAGTTTTTTTATGATAACGCCATACATTATTTCAAAATAATAATAAAGTAGAAAGAGAAGCTTCAAGGATTTTTATACAACGTTTTGAAATTGTTATATCACAAAATACACTGGTGAAATAAATTAAGAGAATTTTCATATTTGATCTACGATCTCCAGAACTACTGGACAAATTTTAAGAAAATTTGGTATGAACATAGGTTGATATAATACAAACAAAATAAACATTCAACAGTTATAATAGACACGCATGTTCGTGTGTAACACTCATGGGAGTCCGAAGGTCTGAAACAGCGGTTGCAGAAGACACAAAAGAAATGGCTTAATAGGGGGTATGGTCCGCTCTTACAGCCAGACAGGTCTCGCAGGGTGATGGCATACTGGAAATAAGGCAATTTATCAGTTATTGCAGTTATTTTGTGGCAATTGGTCCCACTCAGCAACACTGTTTTCAGTCCCTGCATGGTTCTCGGGTTTTGCGAGTTGCAATTGACCTCTCCAGATCATTCCAGACATGCTGTATAGGGTTGAGGTCTGGAGACCTGGCTGGCCAATGCATCCGGCGAATATCCTCACTCTCGAGAAATTCGTCGACCAGAACAGCTCGATATGGCCTCGTGTTATCGTCCTGTAAGATGAACTCGGGGACCACTGCACCCCAGAAAAGGCAAGCAGAGGGCTCCAAGACCTCATTCCTATACCTCACACTAGTCACAGAGCCTCTGTCAAAGACATGGAGAGGTGTGCGGCCATCCAACATGATGCCTTCTCAGACCATTACACTGCTACCGCCATAACTGTTTCGAAGACATTGGAGGGTAGGTAGCGGGTCCCTGGTTCTCTCCATATAAAAAAGCACGGCGAGAATCGGTGTTTAGGCTAAAACGGGACTCGTCGGGGAACAGAAGGGTCGCACATTACTCCGTACTCCAATCACTATGGTGCCTGCTCCATGCTAATCGGACTCTCCTGTCCGTAGATGTGAGCGGGACGCAAACAGCCGGTCCTCTGGCAAACAACCCTCTCTCATTCTGTCTTTTGGAAACAGTCACCTTTGTTACACGGGTTCCTGTGGCTGCATACAGGTCCCGAGAGAGCTGAGAAGCTTTAGCCCCTCTGTTACGCCTCGCTAGCAAATATCGATCTTCTGTGGCCGTCATGGCTCTTGGATGACATTGCCCAGGTTTTCTCTCGATGGATCCAGTATCCTTGAACTGTTTCTATAGGTTACACACGACGCTGGGTGTTAAATTAAACTCTCTGCATATCTGGACTTGCGACTGGCCTGCCTCTAGCCTCCCCACAATTCGCCATCTCATTTCATCATCTAAACGTTGGTGGTTACTCATTTTTACTGTTCCCGATGTGAATTTAACCGATTGCTGCAAGATAACACCAAGAAATTCGCCCAGTTGTGCTAGCAAATGCAATTCGTCTTACCTTCCGCGCACTTATAAAGCTAGCTTTTCTGTTGGCTCAGCCTACACACACGTGTACGCTTACGTATTTGCCGTACAAGATTTGTATTTTTATCTAGAAGCGGTGATTTTTCCTTCAATTCAGTTCTTTTCATGCAATTCGATAAATATATATGCAAATTCTCTTAATTTATTTCACCCGTGTATTTAAAATGGATGTACGGGTAGGACAAAAAAAGTTTTCCTTCCGCAACGAAAGTCTAGGTAGACTGATATTGAACTGAACTAAAAACATACGAGACTATGATGTATTTCTCCTGCCTTCTTAACATACCTTCGTAGTGTAGTGGTCAGGACGCTCGACGCGTAATCGAGAGATCCGTGGTTCGAGTCCCGCAGTGCTCATTTTTCACATCTCCTGCTTCTAAAAAATCCTAATGTCTCTACAGTGGTGCCCGAACTAAAAGGTGGTGGAGGTTGATTCTCCGCCACCGGGATTTGGGCGATTGGGTCCCCTAATCCCCAGTCGCCCTTTAAAAGGAGAAGTATATAAGATATTTTACCGCCTTCTTAGCGTGTCTTCGTTAGTAGTGGTCAGAACGCTCGACCCGTAATCGAGAGGTCCATGGTTCGAGTCTCGGCGAAGGCATTACTCATTTTTCACATCTCCTGCTTCCAAAAAAATCCTGATGTCTCTGCAAGATTACGTACATGCATAATCTTCATCAATATTTTTTTTTTTGTAATTAATAAAGATATTCCTAGTATTTTGTATAGTGGTAGAGATTGTAAAATTTCTTTACAATGTTTTCGATTTTAGACCGAAACTGGGAACGGATTAAAATTATTTTCATAGTAAACAATGAGAAATAGAGTCTATATAATGAATGATTCGTGTAACGAACTCTGCCTTAGAACGGATTGCGTTCGTTGTGGCGCATAGAATTCCTGCATTTAACTCTTGTGCACCACATATTATTGCGTATTTTCTGCCTCCTGTCTGGATGATTTTGTGGCGTAACTGTAGCACACCCGGAGAGTATTGGAGAGGTTCAGGTTCGAGTCCCGGCTAGAGCATTGCTCATTTTTCACCTTTCCTGCTTTAAAGTAACCTGATAACTCTACAGTGGCGCCGGAACTAAAAGGTGATGGATGATGATTTTTCACCGCCACCGATTTTTGGTGATTGGGTACCCCAATCCCCAGTCGCCTTTTAAAGGGGGGGTATTTTCTCCCTCATTTCAGCATGCCTTCGTGGTGTAACGGTTAGCACACTCGGAGCGTATTCGGGAGGTCCAGGTTATGAGTCCCGACGAGGGCTTTGCTCATTTTTCACGTTTCCAGCAACAAAATAACCTAATGAATCTACATATTTCTCTAAATTCAGAACTAGGATCCTTTAAAAATTGCGTAGTATTGTTACATAGGAGCCAATATTCTTTAGAATTATCATGCGGTGGTTTTTCCCTTTTTCTGGTAAAAGTTAATTAGAATAAAACACGTAAGACGAGAACCAAATTATCGCTATGTAAATTAACGATCGCTCAGTAACGATAAGGACTTGGAAAAGATTAAATAGGCCTTTTTATTTAAACAAGAACTTTGAACATAAACACATTTCTTGAGTTAATAAATCAGCCACAACTCATGAAGAATTTGAAAGCAAAGTGTACACACAGATTGCTATGTCATTTGATGCAAGAATTTTGCGAATCTTACTGTTACCCGGAATCCAAGAAACTATTGAAAAAGATGAGAAATTTTGTTAAACTAAAATATACTTTTTGTAAGAAGTTTTCCTGAGTAAGAAGTCATCAAATTAGGTTTCTACTTATTCGATAGCAATCAAAATCGATAGAGGTTTTTTTTTTTTTTTTTTTTTTTTTTTCAAAATCTACGCTAATCTAAGATTTTTTTTCCTCCTTGATGAACTCCAATTTTACATTGATATGCTTTTCTTCAAAATAGATTTTATCTTTGCATTAAAACTTCATTCCGTACTTATATCGCAAGAAAATAATTTTTGTTAATAATTGCAGATGGTAGTATTCCCGAAGATTTCAGATGCAGCAGTGATGGAATATACCAAAACAACGGTAGCTGCGATACTTATATTCATTGTTCAAATGGTATGCCCTACAAACAGCAATGCCCCAAAGGCCTGCATTTTGGACCTAAAATCCAGCGCTGTGAATTACCTTGCATAGCTCATTGTGATAAAAACCTTGGTAAGATGGCATTCTGGGTATTTGAATTTCGAATGCATTTTTGGAAATGTATTATCAATAAAAAATATAAAAAAATTATTTTATAACAAAACCATCATGAATAAAAATTCCTGAAATGGATTTCTGCCATTTCAGGAATAATGGAAGAAAAATATTTATAAGCTCATCCGAGAAAGTTATGAATATTATCTTTGATGCATTTCTTAAATTTTACAATGCAACCCTTAGTGCTTTTCTATCAGTTTGCAGTAAATGTAAACATAAAACAAAAAATTTCAATTTTAAATAAACTGAACTAATATTTGGATAAAAATTGCATCTGATTAATTAATCAATATTTTGACCTGTATTACATATTACGAAAAATATTTTTTAAGGAAAATGATGAATTAAATCAAGTGTCAAATATGATAAAAAAAAGTTGTTGTTCACGAGCATATCAGAACTTAAAACTTGCTGATCTAATTTTAAGCATTTTTTCCTAAAAATTAAAAGCTTTTTAATGTTGGTTCCCATTTACAAAAGTAGTGAGAGTATGAATAAACAATAATTTATCGCTGAGAATCGTACAATGTAAATGTGAAAAATTAATTACAAACCCTAAGCATAAGACAAAATGGATGTTCAAAAAGCAGATTAAAAACCTAAACATGAAGTGTAATGTATGTTCACAAAGCAACTGCAATACCTAAACATAATACATAATAGATGTTCAAAAAGCAATGTCAATACCTAAGCATAAGACGTAATGGATGTTCAAAAAGCAATTGCAATACCTTAGCATAAGACAAAATGGATGTTCAAAAAGCAGATGGAAAACCTAAACATAAGGCATAAAGGTTGTTCACAAAGAAATTGCAATACCTAAACATAATATCTAATAGATGTTCAAAAAGCAATAGCAATACCTAAACATTAGACATAATGGTGTAGAGACATTAGGATATTTTTTGAAGCAGGCAAGATGAAAAATTAGCAAACGCCTTCGCCGGGAATCGAACCACGCACCTCTGGAATATCGGCCTAGCGTGCAGAACCACTACACCACGAAGGCACGCTAGGAAGGCGGGAGAAATACCTTATGATGGATGTCCAAAAAGCAATTGCAATACCTAAGCATAAGACGTAATGGATGTTCAGAAAGCAATTGCAATACCTTAACATAAGACAAAATGAATGTTCAAAAAGCAGATGCAAAACCTAAACATAAGGCATAATGGTTATTCACAAACAAATTGCAATACCTACATAATATATAATAGATGTTCAAAAAGCAATGGCAGTACCTAAACATCAGACATGGCGGATGTTCAAAAAACATTTGCAATACCTAAGCATAAGACGTAATGGATGTTCAAAAAAGCAATTGCAATCCCTAACATAACACGTATTGGATGTTTAAAAAGCAATGGAAATACGTAAACATGAGACATAATGAATGTTCAAAAAGCAATTGCAGTAACTAACCATAGACACCACCCTTTCCCGAAGTACTCTCCCTCATAATTAGGGTGGAAAATAGAGGTCTAACCTCTCTTTGGAATAGTCTTTTGGCAACCTTTCTTACATGTAATATTGATATCACAACAACATTGCTAGAAATATTGTGAACTAAACAGATAAACACGATTTTATTTTTTAACCCAAAATCACCACGTTTCCAGTAACCTGAAAGAAGACTTTCTTAATAATGTTCTAAATATTCAACTACTCTTCCGACCTATTCTTCCAAATTTATTGGAAAACTGTGTATGATACTATACACGTGAACTTGTCTTCAAATAACAAGGAAAATACGTTATTTAATACTGATCTGCGCACTTAATTCTTATTACTATCAAAACGACAATCAAACGCGCTACACATAATTCTACATTACACCAAAGTTCAACATGCATTCTCTGCAAATGTCTGAATATATTTCTGCTTCCGAAAAGCTTATCCGCTTATTCTCCATTCCGAGAAAGCTAGATTATCAACGACTTGTACGAAATAGAAGAAATTAAGAACTGAAGAAATATTACTTACAAAATATGTACATAAATAAGTACTTTTAAGTATTCTGTCTATTTTCAAATTAAGAACTCTATATTTTTCTAAAGTACGCATCTTTCTACTGATTAATTTTGAAATCTTTCATTTCAGCTGAAGAATGTGGATGGAATAAAAACCGTAAGTATTATGTTTTGGATAATTACTTAAATAATCAAATTGAATGTTAGTTTATATTAATAGATATATATAACGAGATTATTATATTTTAAGATTATTATGCTGATGGCAAGTATGTTGTCTATGCTGGTTATGCGATTCAATGCATATAAACGGAACTGGCATGCATTCTATTGCATAAACTATCGGAAAATAACAACAAAAAATGTGTCAAGATTTAGATTTTAACATTCTCCCAAAAAGGTTGTTGTAAAGTTTAATTTCGTTTATCAGTAGACATTGTCGAAAGAGATGGTCCTAATGGCACAGCAAAACGTTTTATACAATATTAGATGACTATACACTTAGACTAACATGGGAACGTAATATATCTTCCATATATATGAAAAGAGGAAAAATATATAACGAGTAAAAATATTTAACACTTCTAACTAGTTGTATCATGAATTACATACATTTTTTTAACTGAATCAGATTTAAAAGTAACGAAAAATAATATTAAAAATTTTTCACATGAAGGTTACATTTTCTTTTAAAGTTACAAAATGTTATTCAGATTGAAAAAAATCAGAGCACAAAGATCATGAACTCAATTATGTGAATATGTGATTGAAGGTTACGGAAAATTAACTACACCAATATATGATTGATGAACTATAGTTGATGAATAACGTCAGTATAACAATACTAATCTTAGAATGCTTGATTAATAGTAAATTGGATTTGATCAGAAAATTACTAATGCATGCATATATTTCCGTGACCAGAAACTGCAGAAAATACATCTTGCAAAATTAAAAAAGTAAGCAAACATGAAAGAACTAATTCATGCTTTGATGCAAGAAAAAAATTGTCGGTATCTCTCATTTAATTTTATCCCTAACACGAAAACTGAATTAAAAGTACGGTAAGATCTCGTTTAACGCTGTTTCCGATTAACGCTTTTTTATTTGAATTGTGAGATTCCCCGAAATTGCACGCAGCGTTAGGCCAAAGAACGTCTATGTAAAGAAGGAAAGGACACTGGACACTATGTCGATATGAATGAACTAGTGAAATTAGCGAAACAAACCAGTTTAGATGAGGTAAATGTGGAAGATGTCGAAGAAATAGTGCAAGAAACAGCAGCGAGTCTTTCAAATGATGAGCTCAAGGAATTAGCGGACCAAGAAGAACACAAAAATATTGAAAGTAGTGATTCTGAAGAAGAGCAAAAAGAACTTTCAACAGTTCTAAAAACCAATCTGACAACTATAACAGAAATTATGGACTAATTGATTGAAAATAGCCCGAATTTGGACAGGAGTTCAAAGGATTCTTACACACTTACGAACAATTCTTACAGAGCACAAAAGGAAATGCAAATTACATTAGGTACCTTCTTGATAAAAAAGCAGAAATTTGGGAATACTGAAGAGGCTGAATGATCTGAAATGTAAACATACTGACTTAGAATTTCATTAATTTTTCTATGTATATTCGTTTAGGCGGGGTCTTACTGTATATGTTTACTTGTAGTGATAAGCATATCTGAGGACTTCAGTTGCACAGAGGATGGGCTATACAAAAATGCCTTTAGCTGTGATAGTTACATTTAATGCTCCAATGGTCGGCTTCTTGAAAGACAGTGCCCTATCGGGTGGCATTTCAACGCTAAGATATTAAGATGTGAATCACCTTGCGATGCACACTGCGACGAAAACCTTGGTAAGAATCCAAAACTCCTTTTAAATGTGATCATTGAGCAATACTAAATATTTCTATTATACTTTTTATTTTTGACATATACAGGAATTTTTTAGACTAAATGGGAGGATTTCATGCCGTATCATGTTGTAAGTATTATACGAAATGGTTTGGAAGTGCTTTTATTCAAATCAGTTGCTCAAAAAGATCGCGAATAAAATTTGTAAGTTTTAATAGCCGATATTCTGTTTCGGTCCGTATTTTAAGTAGAATGCTTAGTGAAACGCTTGTTGCCGCTTGAGTGATTCCTCACTTGAGGGAACAAGATCATCAATTATATCATTGTAAATCTCATTTTTGTACAAAGCTCGAAAAATAAAATCTAAAGTTTTAAGATTAGGACATCTTACTTTTCTTCGAATAGATCCATTAGTGGGAATCTATATTCATGAAAACAGGCAATTCATCTCTTCTTTGGGTTACAGCCGAAAACATCGCGAACGAAAACGTCGCGACGAAATTCATTCCCTCGAATAAAAAAAAAGAAAATGAAAAATGCTGCGTTATAGATCGTCTTTAAACAAAATACCGCACCACCTGACATTGCGAATAGTGCAAAGAAGGGTGTCCACCGAAACCATCGCGGCAAAAACATTGCGGACGAAAACGTCACAGAGAAAATAATGCAAGGCGAAAACGTCGTGGCACAAAACATAATGGGAGAAAATAAAGCGAAGAGAAAACCTCGTGGTACAAATTATCGTCATCGAAAATAAAGCGGTTCAAAACTTCATAGTTTAACAACATTGATGTCGAAAATACCATGGTAAAAAAATAGTACCTACAAATCATTGCATGACGATAACATCGCACACATGCGTTTTTCAGGCTTTAAGAATTGTAAACGGATATTCGCATAATGATTTGTGAGCACAAGATGGAAAGAAGGATAATTTTTACATTCATATTTTTTATTATATATAATTTATAAAAAACAAGAAATTTAACAAAAAAAGAAATAATTTTACTATAAGAGTATCAGATCACAAAATGAAGAAAATATCTTACATTAACTTAGCAGGTTATTTAGGTAGGATGCAGTTACTTCACATTTTTCTATTTTTTTAGATTTTTACATTGAAAATTACCCGTAAAACTTCAAAAAATAATTCATAATGCCTTGAAGTTAACTTGTCAGTTTAAAATTCTATTAAGTGCTATAATGCAAATTTTTTATGCTTAAGTTTATATTTTCATTTCAGCAATTTATAGTTAATAAAATATGAAGTAAAAATATCCTCTTTTCCATTTGCGCTCACATTTCATTAGCGGTATCTTCAGAATAGTTTTAAGACGAAAAAAACGCATTGTCTGCGATGTAACGCCAGCGAGATTGTAGGTACTATATTTTTTTACCGATTTTTCGAGGACGATTTCTTAATGCGAATTTTTAATCGCTTTAGTTTCGACGACGATATTTTGTACCACGATGTTTCAGAACTGCGATGTTTTTTCTCTTTTCTTTATTTTCTCCCATTATGTTTTGTGCCACGACGTTAACGCCTTGCGTTATTTTCTCCGCGACGTTTTCGTCCGCAATGTTTTTGCCGCGATGTTTTCTGTAGACACCCTTCTTTGCACTATTCACAATGTCAGGTGGTGCGGTATTTTGTTTAAAGACGACCTATAACGCAGCATTTTCCACTTTCATTTTTTTTTATTCGAGGGAACGAAAAATTCTTTGGAATATCTGTACATTTATTTTGAGATAAGTACAACAAATTAAAAAAAAGCCAAAAATTATATTAATATTCAGGCGGCACCAGAATTTGAAAAGAACGTGATTATGTGTCACACGCAGAGTACTACTCCGCGTGTGACACATAATCACGTCAGTAATTTCTTGAAGTGGAAGATAGTCGAGATTTCTCGTCGACGAGGAGAAAACTATATTAAACCCGAGAGAGTACCAGTTTTTCAGTTTTTAATTCAGAGAGACTTCGGAGTATTGAGATCTCAGCGAGAGCTTTGCTCTTTAGATGCGCTTTGCATTGCGTTGTGTTTAACTTCCTTATTAGTTTGAAGTGTAACTAATGATTGTACTCTGTGATATTGCGAAGAACCCGTACGAGTAGTTTTGTGTAAAGTTCCAGAAGTGTTTCTTTTTGTAAAACAAATTTTATCAAGCTATTATCGCGTCTGTGTGCATTCACTCTAACCGTATTCACGCAACATTACTCTCCAGACATAAGTGGAATGTTTCAGTGTTTGTATATACAATATTCATTTTATTTAGCTATCTCTTTCAAATAAAATAAATTAAAAAAAGCAAAATAAAGTAGTTAGAAAGGACTGCGCAGATATCTCGGTACTCGTAACCTATTTATTGCTCATGAATATTTTGAAGATCACCACTGGCAATGGTAATTCTTATTGGAAAAGCTCAGATGTATAAACTTTGAAAGCTCAGTGGCTTGCAAAGTTCTTTAGTTACAGCCGAGGTTAATCCCCTTTCTTGGAATATAACTTTCCCTGGAATATAACTGAAGAGGCACTCCAAAACTGGAAACCCGGTTGCGCATCATTCCCTTTGCCATGAACTGCTGATGGCAACAAATACATCCTCGTAGTCATTGATTATCTCAAAAAGTAGCCTGACTCTTATCCTGTTCCTTATCAAGACAGTGTCAAGGGCGCAGAGGTATATAAACTGAGTTATGACAACGAATAACTCAGTTAAACCGAAAATTTGAAATAAATTTTACATTAATGCTTGAGGAAAACTAATGAATTTTGATAGATAATTGTAATAATCTTAAAATGCATTTCTTAAAAGAAAATTCCATATCATTATTGCCCTTCCTGCTTCGAAAAATCGAAAAATCTCTGTAGCATTTGAATATACTTGTTTACACATTTCAACGAGTTCTTAGTAATACTACAGAATGTTCTTTAGATTTGCGTCTTCAATTTTTGTTGCATTATACATTTAATAGAAACCTGTATATGAAAGAGAATATATGAATTTGTCTTGAAGTAATATTCTGTTGTAAAATACGCCCTTTAATATTGATCCTCATGTTTAATTCAGAATTGCAACACAAATCAAAGAAGCTGCCTTAAATGGAACCATGTTCAGTATATAGGGTGTATCAGTGCAGCGCTGTCAAACTTTCAGAAGAATACACCTAGACGATGGGAAATCACACAGGAATGCATGGTCGGAAACGCTTTCCTGGCGCGGTAATAACGATACAAAAGTCAAGGAAGAAAGAACACGAACGGGGTGAGAAAACTTGTTTATTATTATCAACATAAACAAAGAAAATAAAACATAGAGAGACAACGATCATCATCAAAGAAGGTGCTTGAATTTACGACCCGGACCGTGATGCAGGAACCGCGCGTTATGCACCATGCACCTTCCATTCGTGACGCGTATCTTCCATGCGGAGATGTGAGGCCTACATCAGGGTCCGGGGTCGTAATTTCGAACACCTTCTTTAACGACGATCGTTGTTTTTGTTCTTATTTGTAGGTTTCTGCTGTATTAAACATAATAAAACATGTTTTGTCTCACCGTTTGTATCATTCGGTTTTTGGCTGCTTTGTCGTCACTACCGTGCCAGGAAAGCGTTTGCGATCATGCATTCCTATGTGATTTTCCATTGTCCAGGTATATTCTATCTCTCCTGAACGTTTGTCAAGGTTGTACTAATACACTTTGTATACTCTTCGATGACTTTGGTCTTTTTGGTCTCATAGTTTGTAAGATTTTAGTTCTTTGTGACATTTTGCCTAGCCATTGAAAATATAAAAATACCCTTATTGCACCTTACATTTTAGAAAAGTTCCCAAAATAAATGGGGAAATGTTTATGAAATCTCTGTGAAATATGTGTTACAAAAAATGGGTTGAAACTGCTTTTATTCAATTCATCCGCTCAGAAAAATTAAGAACACAATGAGTAAGCTTCAATATGTTCAAAATTAATACTCATTATATTCGTGACTTTCGTTTTGCATTCTGTCAATAATGTCTAGTACCACAATTGCAGGTGCTTGCTTCATTGCTTCCTTGAGGTGTTCGAGGTTATAAAAGTATTTACTGTGAATTTAGTTTCTGATAAAGTCTACAGGAAAATGGCTAGTCGATCTTTCTAGTGGACAGTCTAATCTAGTGAAGACAGACCTTTTTGTAAGGCATAGAATAAATCCATAACTACAAAGCCATCGTTCTGGAAATTGATTACCATCACGATTCACGTCATTTGGAAAATATGTTTCACAAAGAGGATGATTGAAAAAAAGAGTCCTAAAGAAACGGTGAATTCTCTCCTTGACGCTTTTTCTACCGTTTCTGTAAGCGAGTTTGCAGATGGTGAATATCTTCTTTGCTAAAATCTCAAATTCATTAGAATTCACAACACGGATCAGATATTTTGAAAATTTTAATAAAATATTAGTTAAAATCACGTTTTACAAACAATATAACGCATTCAAAATCCACGAGCTACAGAAGTAGGAGAAAGTTAGTGATAATTTTCTTCAGTCTTGTTAAAATGAGATCCGCATATCCTCGTCTTCCAGCTGCATACGCTTAATTTGAGGTATCAAAACATTCTATAAATCAAAGTATAGATATAAGTTAATAAGCGAAAAGACGGAAAATCGTGTTACTCATTGAGCAGCACCAGTCATTGTCATAAGAAGAATATTGAAGATGTTCGTGTGTTACCAGCAGATTTTCCAGAGTTTCAATTTCAGCAACTCTAACTATTTGAGCAATCGCTTACAAGGAACGTAGCCTCATCCACAATGAGGCCATGTTCACATGTGCGTAATATGTTCGAAAGATGTTTGGGAGATTTTCTTGCGCGTAACCTAAAATGTTATGATGTGCCAAAATTATATGGTCATATTACACCATCTTGTATAAAAACAGAATAAATGACTACACACTACTAATCAACGGACTGATAACAGTTCGTTGATGTCATGCTAAAATGAACCCTCCTCAAAAAAATATAAAATTAACTAAGATAAATTCATGGATGAACAATGATTAATGCTTTGCTGAAGAGATGCATGAAATATACTGAATGAGTTTGAATACTAAGCCAAATAAAATGTTATATATGAAAAACATTTAAAATATATTAACCTACTTTAAAACAATTTCAGGGTAGACAATAAAAACCATCTTTGAAATTCTGAAATATATTAATGTCTTGTCCATCTAAATGGTCAAGTGTTAACAAAGAGCTATTAAAATACATCGCACAAAATCAGTTAAAATAAGGGCGTTATATGCTCCTAGTCGTCCAGAAGACATTCGACTAAAGGCTTGGGTGTCTAACTGATTAATGTCATCCAAGGGCCTTATACTGTAATGTGTCGCACCAACAGAACAGCATCACGTTTTAACAAATTGTTCACTCTCAATTTGTAGAAGATAGGTACGTCAAGAATGGCCACTTCTAAGACGAGTTAAAAAAACTTTTTTTTCTAAAATATTTAGTAGTTTCAATATTTCGTTTTATGATCAAACTGTTATGAAGCTAAATGTCACAGAGTCTGAGCTAAATGTCACTGAGAATTTAAAACTAAGGCATTGGTAATGTATTTAATTATTGCAAATTTTGGTTCTGTTTCGTTTGATAAATTAGAGTATATGCCTATGTTTTCAATACGATTAAATTTATTTAGTTTTATTCTGATTACATAAATGAATTAAGAAGAGTTTTTGCTGACTGATTTTAGACTTAGGATATTTTTGCACAAAAGCAAACGTGTTTATAATGATAAATGATTAGCATGTTGTGGAGAACAGTTGTTCTTCTAAATGGTCTTAACATGTTAGAAGAACACGTATTTAATTGCCCTATGTACGTAGATTTTCTTTGTCAAAGAATTAATATATGCCTAAAATCACGATCTTGGTGCGCATATTTTTCAAAGAAGTTCTGATAAAACTGAAGGTTCTTTTACCTGACACGGTGATATATTTAAGTTGTTTCTAGTTTGGTTAAGTTAAAATCAATATACAACTGCAAATTATACTTATAGTTGCAATTTAATTTAAGCATAAATCTGAATTCATATGACTAATGAAAATTGTTTTACAGTTGAAGAATATGAATGGGAAAGTATCAGTAATGCTGAGATGGCTGACATGGCTGACACGACGTTTGATGGTATAATTTTAAAAGCTAAACATTTTATACCCTGCTGTCTTAATCAATTTTAATTTGGATTTGTGTGCCACTTTTAAATCTTTATATCATTGTTCTTTCGATTCTCCTTCCATCCAAAATGACATCTACGAGCGGCCGAGCGATAAAAGCCCTGAATACTAATAGTTTAACGTGGGCTTGATTCCAAGCGAACGGGCTGGCTGTTTGGTTCTTCCTATGTGTAATGTGGATAAGAGCCAAATTTTCTTCAGAAAGTCCTCCACCAAAGCATCCTTCCCATAGACGGACGACATTCGCTTAACTTTACCATAATTAAATAAACCAAATAACCCAAAATACTCATAGTCAGTAGGTACATTTAAGATGCAGGGAGAATTAAAACGATGAAACTTTTCAAATATGATAAAAAATTACAAATACTTGTAGGCACTATTTTCGAATTGTTTTTGTCCACATGTATAGGTTAAAAGAGCACAAAAAAAGCCCTGTCTTGACAGTCATTGTATATTTAATGCTCACTTAAATAACGAAGAGCATTATTGATCATTTTTAATGTTACGTAAAAACTGAAGAGAATCTAAACGTTATAGCTTTTGTAAATAACAGTGGAAGTCTTGCGCTAAACTGTTGAATTTTTACTAAACTGTTACACTTAAATTATCTCATATTAGGTACATAGACACAACAGTTTTCAGTATCGTATACAAATAAATAAATAAAGAAAAGAAAATAAAAATAGAAAAGGATAAATAAAATCTGAAAGGTTTCAGATTTTAAATTATGTCCAA